TATACTACAAAGCCATAACAATCAGAACTGCATAGTATTGGAACAAGAACAGACCAATGGAACAGAATAGAAAATCCAGAAATAAACCCACAGATTTATGGTCAACTAATCTTTGACAAAGAAGCAAAGAATATGCAATGGAGCAAAGAAAGTTTGTTCAATAAATGGTGCTGGGGGGCCTCCCTGGTGGTGCAAGGGGTTAAGACACAAGTTATGAAGCTGTCCTCAGACACTGCAGCACGAGTTCGATCCCTGGCCGGCCAGGGAGCAACCCACATGACACAGCAGACCTCCTCTGACTTGCCCGCTGTTCCACTCAGCAGTGTACATCAGTCAATCTGCCTGTTCTGTTCCCCACTCTGTCTCTGGTGAATCCTCTCACCACCCCCCTCCCCACCTCTGGTCTGTATCTTGTATGCACAAATAAATAAATCTTTAAAAAAAATCATTTATTAAAAAAATAAAAATAAACGGTGCTGGGAAAACTGGGTCACTACATGCAAAAGTTCGATGCAGCTTGACTACTACCTCACACCATGCACAAAAACCAACTCAAAATGGATTAAAGAACTAGATATAGACCTGAAACCATAAAATATATAGAAGGAAATAAAGGCAAAAAACTGCATGACATATATCTCAGTAACATCTTTAAAGACACATCACCCAAAGCAATGATAGTGAAGCAAAGATAAACAGCTGGGACTACATCAAATTAAAGAGTTTCTGTACAGCAAAAGAGACTATAACCAAAATAAAGAGACACCCCACCAATTGGGAGAAAATTTTTGCACACAACACTAATGATAAAGGACTGATTACAAAAATCTATGAAAAGCTGATGAGACTCAACAAAAACAAAGTAAATAACACAGTCAAAAAAAATGGGCAGAAAAGCTAAAAAGAAACTTTTCCAAAGAGGAACTACAAATGGCCACCAGGCATATGAAAAAATGTTCAACGTTACTTGCAATCAGGGAAATGCAAATCAAAACTACAATGAGATACCATCTTACACCAGTGAGAATGGCACATATTAAAAAAACTAGCAACAACAAATGTTGGCGAGGATGTGGAGAGAAAGGAACTCTCCTGCACTGCTGGTGGGAGTGCAAACTGGTCCAACCACTATGGAAAGTTGTGTGGAGATTCCTCAACATACTAAAGATAGCGCTTCCATATGATCCAGCAATTCAACAACTAGGTATTTACCCAAAGGACACAAAAACATTAATTCTAAAGAGCACCTGCACCCCTATGTTCATAGCAGCACAATTTACAATAGCTCAGCTTTGGAAAGAACCCAAATGCCCAAAAATAGATGACTGGATCAAGAAGATGTGGTACATATATACAATGGAATATTACTCAGCAATCAAAAAAGATAAACACATGCAATTTGCAGCAACATGGATGGAGCTGGAAGGGATCATGTTCATCAAAATAAGCCAAAAAGAAAAAGAAAAATACCGATGGTCTCACTCATAACAGGAATCTAGAAAACCAAAATAACGGACCAGGAAAAAGAATAACTATAAGAAAGAAAAAAATAAAAATCAACAAACAACTATGAACCAGAGACACACTTTGGGAGGTGGGTGGGGAAAGGAGGGTTTGGGGTCAAAATTAAGGGGTTGCAATTGTATGGTGAATATAAAAATAAAAAAATAAAATAAAGTGAAAAAAAATAAATTCAAAAGCAGAAAAAAAAAAATGGGCAGAGGAGCTAAAACGAAACTTCTCCAAAGAGGAAATGCAAATGGCCAACAGGCATACGAAAAAATGTTCAACATCACTTGTAATCAGGGAAATGCAAATCAAAACTACAATGAGATGAGATACCATCTTACACCAGTGAGAATAGCACATATTTAAAAAACTAGCAAAAACAAATGTTGGAAAGGATGTGGAGAAAAAGGAACTCTCCTGCACCACTGGTGGGAGTGCAAACTGATCCAACCACTATGGACAGCTGTGTGGAGATTCCTCAATCTGCTAAAATTGGAGCTTCCATATGATCCAGCAATTCCACGCCTAGGTATTTACCTGAAGGACACAGAAACATTAATTCAAAAGGGCACCTGCACCCCTATGTTTTTAGCAGCACTGTTTACAATATGTAAGCTATGGAAAGAACCCAAATGCCCCAAAATAGATGACTGGATCAAGATGTGGTACACATACACAATGGAATATTACTCAGCAATCAAAAAAGATAAACTCATGCCATTTGCAGCAACATGGATGGAGCTGGAAGGGATCAAGCTCAGTGAAATAAGCCAGAAAGAAAAAAAAAATACTGGATGGTCTATTCATAGCAGGAATTTAGAAAACCTATATAAGGGACCAGGAAAAAGACTAATTATAATAAAGTAAAATCAAAATCAACAAGCAACTATAAACCAGAGACACACTACGGGGGCGGGGGAGGGGAGAAGGGAGTAGGATCAAAACAAGGGGGGTAAGAATTGTATGGGGACTATAACCAAGATGAAAATGCAAATATTGTGCAAAAATGAAAAATGGTGTAAAAAATATATAAAATAAAATTCAAAAATAAAAAAAAAAACAGGAGGATAAAGTGATGAAGACTAACTCACAGTGGCTAAGGCAAGAGACTTGACCAAGACATTGTGAGAAAGTTTTGGACCCTTGGCATGATAAACCCAGCGGTGGACTTTGTGAAAAGAGAATTCACGAGTAAGAGTCTTTCATTAAAGACAGGCTGGGCATCTGCCATTCTCCACAGATATAGACAACACTTTACAGCAAGATGTACACAGTTCTTGGCCTTTGTTTCGAGAAATTTTATACAGGAAAAAAGTGTTGGTGACAACACCCTTGAGTTTATACAAGATTTTATGCTCATAGAGTTCCTTGACATTCATTATTCCTTGCTGGCCATCTCTATATATGACCCTTATAAGAGTTTACATCCTGTGCCTCCTGGCTAGAGTTTAAAGGCAGATTTCCCTCTACTCTTTCATTGGAATTGTACAATGGTCCCTGCTGCTACAGAGAAGCTACCAATATAAAGGTGGTGTTTTCACTCCCTGAATCCCTACACTAAAACATAAAGACTGCCATGCCCATTCCTTTAAAAAACAGGGAAGGGCTTCCCTGGTGGAGCAGGGGTTAAAGTCTCAGTGCTGTCAAGATACACCAGCCACTGCAGCACGAGTTCAATCCCCGACCAGGGAGCTGACCCACATGGCGCTGCAGACCTCTCCTGTCCTGCCCGCTGCTCCCCTCAGCAGTGTATTTCAGTAGATCTACCTGTTCTGCTCCCCACTGTCTCTGGTGAATTCTCTCACCCCCTGCGCCTCTGGCCTACACCCCAGTTCTTGTATGCATACATAAATGAAATAAATCTTTAAAAAAAAATAGGGCATCACAATGGTGTGATCTTTCTGTCTCCATAGGAAGAATGGCATCCCTTCCTAGATGTCCTTCCCTCTTCACTGGCTCATTGCCACTGCCTACCAGGGAGAAGTGTGCTTAGAGTTGAAGGCAGCTGTGCACTGATGCATGGTGGGCCACAGAAGGAATGCTCTGTGAGATTACAGATACGAGAACTGTACCTCTGGCCACTTAATCAAACATTAAGATGATAACCACAATTTTAACTTTGGTTAGGAAATTTTTAAAGTTGGATTGGTGGGACTTTGGCCAATAATGTTACTAGAGGCCAATTGGAGAATCGTCCACACACCCTTGGAAATCATAAGGAGGAAACAGGAAACAGCATTCAAGCGGGGTGGTGGTCAAAAGAAATGGAAAGAGCATAAGCTGGTTTCCAAATTCTAGTATGTGGGCTGAGAATAACACACAGAGAGGTCTAGATTAGTTAAAGGCCCAGCACAGGTAGAGGTAGAGTCAGGGCTCAATACCCAGAAGATGACATGTCAGCAAGCGAGCAGCATAGAATTTGAGCACACAAACAAGTCTAGGGCGGGGACTCAAACAGTGATACAAAGCAGGGCAGCGGGGGAGGACCAACCACAGGAGCTCAGGATCTGGGTCAGGAAGCAGATCACTCTATCATTGTGACAACCAGCCCTTGAAGAGTATCTGTCCAGATCAAAGAAGTCTTGGTGAGGGCAAATAAGAGTTCAGTAAGAACTCTCCACTGTCCAGGGATTGCAATCAAGGGATTTGCTGTCCAGTGTGTGCTCAGAGTTGTAACAATGAGCACCAAAGAAGTTCTATTTGCTGATTGAAGGCAGAAGGACTCAGTTATCATGGGGCCCATCAGCAAATCACTAGCCAGCAGTGGACATGAGGGAAGGGTAGGAGGAGGCGGGGCTGAGGATGCTGAATGCTTTCACATGACAACTTTCCCCAAAATCATATGAAAATAGAAATTGCAATTTTCTTGGTCAGAAACTGCTTGGTCAGAAACAAAATGCTTTTGTACAGTTCAAATCACAGAAATCCTTGGTAAAAGAAGTGGCTATCAGGGTAGGGGGAGGGAGGGCTGATGAAGTGCTGGAATATAGATTGAGGAGTTTAGTAATATGGGCTACGATGGCATGTGGCTACTGCACACAAAAAGCTAATTTTTAAGCCTGATGTATGGTACATGTCCTGTCAACATTTGTTTAGTTAATTAAAAAGTGGTTAAGGCCAACACTGGGCTAGTCACAATGGGAACATACGAGAAAGGAATGTGTCACTGTGTCCTAAAAGAGTTTACTTCACTTTGAAGAAAAACAAAACCATTGAAGAAGAAAAGCTACACTTTCCTAGTACTTAGGACTAAAGCACTACAGCCAGTGAATATGTAAGAATTCAAAGAAGAGAAATTAGAAATCATTATTGGCTAGAAGGAATGAAGAAGTTTTCCAGGTGGAGGGAAAAAGAAAGACAAGCAGAGGTATGAATATAAAACATAAGCAAAGGACAAGGTGCCTCTCATCCCCAAGTTTTCCACCATGTCTGGTCATGCCTTCCCAACTACTTTTCCTCAAGCTAAATTTTAGTAATAACCAGTTGCTCACCTTTAAGAAAGGTCCTCAATGCACTAGTTCTGAGATGCTTCATGATGAAAGATACCCACTGTCAAAGTTGGGAAATGCTGCAATTTCCTCATGGAAATTCACGGTGTACATAATTCTCTGAAAAAGCCCTGCAATAAGTAAATCAGTTCAGCTTCATTTAGCCAGCATTTTTCAAAACAACTTGACTATGAAAACTACTTCGAACTCATGCTTCTGATCATTCCCTAGTGCCAGTGTGCGACAGGACACACTATGAAAGACATTGCTACAGAAGGATGACCAATTTAAATTCCCTGTCCAAATCTCCAAAAATGAAGAAGAAAAGAAGAGAAAATAGAGTGATGGTCTGGTCTCAGGAGTTAAACACCAACTACTGTCACTAAATAGAAAAATGGAAAAGAAACAGACACAACGCATTTTAAATGATGAATCATTTGCAGTCATGGTTGGAAAACACTGTCTAAGCCATGACCCATTTCTAATTCCTTTAGCTCTGCCTAAGATGCATGACATTTGAGCTTGTTAGGTTTGATGAACAAATAACCATTTCAGCTGTGGGGTGAGACTAGGCAGACATGAAAGTACATTTTTTTATTGGACCTTTGATACTAAAACAATCTCAATCTCTCTCTCTCTCTCTCTCTCTCTCTCTCTCTCTCTCTCTCTCTCTGTCGCTCCCCCCTGTTCCCCATCTCCCCCCGCCCCATTCCTTCCTCTATCAATTGTGCTCTTCTGTGAGATTTCAGTCCTGGTTCATGTCATTTGTCTTAGAAAATAGAGACATTCCCAGAGTTTCTCTTGCTTTCTACAAGAGTAACTCAGCTGTAGCTGTGTAGGAAATCATAATTAGAGATGGAAGCTTCCTGGATGAACCCTTTCTTTGCAGATGTGCAAACAGAAGGTAATAATTAGATTGCAACACAGTCACAAGGTGGAGACTGGTTGTTCTGTTATGAAAGGTCTCTGTTCTAACCCTCAAAGTCTCAGATTAAAGTGCTGGTTCTCAAATATCCCTACCTGTTAAAATTTTGTGGGAATAATTGGAATATACCCAAGCCTATGTTCCACGCAGAACCAATACAATACAACCAATACAACCTATGGAGGTGGATCCCAGATCTCTTGCTTATAGGCCTCAAAATGATTCTAATATTCATACAGAGTAGACAATGACTGGATCAGACATCTTAACCCTTCATTAAAACTGCTGATCCTAGTATGATAGATCTTATGATTCTATTATTCCATCCTGGATTTACATTCAAGCAGAGTAGGTATCTGCCAACATGGGGTGGGTTGAGAGGCGCTGGGTATATTTATCTCTCTTGTGTCTCTGAATTCACTATGGGATGTGTTCTTTTATGTTAGGTCCCTAGAATCCCCTCTTAAAATGCAAATACCTCTGCAGAGTAGTACATTAAAGCTATTATTAGTCATTGGCACCATGTTGTTTAATGGATCAGCCTGTCACCTAACAAGGCCAGGAAGTAGGGAGGGTACAGGAAGAGAAACATTACTTATTCAGAGATTGTGTCAAGTATTGCATCAAAAATTTACTGTCTTCCTTCCCTGTACTCCTCCATTGTTTTTCCCCTTTCAGTTTGAAGATTACTCATCTGACCCTCTACATTCGCTATTTGTGAACTAATTGTGAGTCATTTACATCCATTTTCCCCCTGTTGTTGAGAGCATATTTGGTACCCTATAAGGAGCTCATGTAAGGGATCTGGTTTTTAATGTAATGAATTCTTCATTCTTCTTCTCTATAAACATTGTAGTCAGGATAGCAATTAATGCTGGTTTTCTCTATGCACACCACCAAATTTCCCAATTATAAACTGATCACATGGTCAGTCAGTTAATGAAATAACCTGGTGAATTTTGGCAAGAAAAGAAAAATTGCAGTTTGACTCCCCAGCCCCACACTCACAAAAAGGCAAGATATTTGAGGGAACTAACCAAACTGACCAGGGGTTCTGATACCACATTGGTACAATCTCTTTAGCATTGCCTCAACCCATTGGTTGGCCACTGACTAAACAACTGAATGCAGGCTTGACATTTTCAGTTGTCAAAGGATAGTTTTAGGTTTCCAGGGATGGAGAGGGATGATCATAAACTTCTTTCATTGCCAGGGCCCATTGTTCACCCCTTCTTTTTACCCCTGCATTAGCTACACTTGGCTATCACTGGGTAACTGCATTTTGGGGCCCACAGTCACATCACAATGATAGCGTAACTTTCTAAATAACTCCATTTGCCACATCGAGTATTTCAAAAACCAATTTTTTTTTAGTTCAATTCATGTAACACAATGCTCAATTAGGCCCATTTAAAATGCTTCTTGCTACTTTACTAATGTTCTAAATATTCCCCTTCCTCTAACAAGATGGGATTATTATTCCTCTAGGTCTTTGTTTCAAAGGTACTGTCTCTTAGATTTTTCATCTGCCCTCTTAGAATTATTTTTGATACTTGATATTCCCTCAACATACTAATTTATTCAGTTTTGGGCCATCTCTTCATAATCCTCATTGGATTCAGAATCCAGTTTAGTAAAATTTCAGTTAAGCTGGTGTAGTGGCAAGAAGGGCTTGGAGCAGGTTTTCTGTGATTCGAGCTGACAGGTAAAGGAGAGTCCTGGAACCCTCAGTGGCTTTCTCAGGCTTTTATTGAGCTTTTACATGTAATGCAGCAACCAGGTACATGGCAGGCAGGAGTGCCAGGGGGCCAGGAGGCTGACAGGCCTCCCAGCCTCTGGCGAACCTTCACTCTTTACTGGGCTCTCTGGCATTCTTTTTCCCCTTCTCTCCTGTTCTCTCTCCTGCCTCTGCTTCTCTTGGCAAATATACCAATACTGCAGCCATGGCCCACAGTGGTAAACAACACAACTGAAAATAACAATGTAACAAAATGCAGGTGCCCACATCAGGCATGCAATCCTAATGGCAGAGGGCAGAAAAGCCTGAAAATCATTTACCTTACAGCTGGTCATAGGCACTTTTTGTTAGTGACTGAGTTGATTGCTTGCTTATATTCATTTCAATCACCATCATATATCCCTCGGCACATGCTTTCTGAATCCAGGACTGTGTCCACGAACAGAAAGCAAAGGGGAGAGGCCATCTGGATAATACAGGCAATAACACTTTGTCCTTGTTATTTGGCACTTCAGACTGCTGGAAATGAACTATCCTCCAAAATTATCCAGACAACTATAACTGCTAAATTTTTAAGAAATTCTAACTCTAGAGCAGGGACTGGCAAAAACAACAGCCTGCAGGTTAAATGTGACCTGCCAACTATTTTTGTATGGTCTTTGAGCTAAGTGTCTTTTATATTCTCAAATTGTTGAAAGAATCACATGACATATAAAAATTATAGGAAATTATAGTTTTAATTGCCATAAATAAAGCCTTATTGGAACACAGCCATGCTATTCATTTATGTATTATCTCTGATTTATGTGAAAAGCAGAACAGTGTAGTTGAAATAGAGACAACAGGCCTACCAAGTTTAATGTGTTTAGTCTCATTCCTTTCACAGAAAATGTGCTCATCCCAGATCTAGAGCAGTGCTGACCAACAGAACTTCCTGAGATGACAGAAATGTTTCGTTTATGTGTTGTCCAATACAGTCACTATCAGCTATGTATGGCTACAGAGCACTTGGCATGTGGCCAGAACAAGTGAGTTATTATTTTTATTTACTGATAATTATGTTAAATTTAAATGATCAAGTATGGCTTGTGGTGAGTGGCTAATACATTGAGCAACACAAATGTACAACAAAAGATACTAAATGCAAAATCTAGGAGTTAATGCTAGTGGTAGTGATAAAATGAAAAATCTAAATTGGCAATCATGATTTTAGATAAGGTGAATGTAAGATTTAATACACAAGACAGAAGAGTGGGGAAGTTAAGTAATGGTAGAAAACACATATCTGTATGTTGAAAACAACATAAAACAATAACGATTAGAAGTAAAACCAAAGTTTAATAAAAGAAAATTAAAGTTGAAGACTATATACACCTTTCTCAGATCAGATTGTTCTAGTAGTCAAAAAATAGAATAATAAAAGGAAAAATATCAGCAAGCTTGATTGACTAATTATATATGAGAACTTAAACCCCTCAAACAGAGAATATACATTCTTTGGTATGTCCGTGGTACATTAACAAAATTGATCAGGTACTTGGCTGACCACAAGAGGAGAAATGGCAAGGAAAATTGGAAACTAATTTGAGATGAATGAAAATGAAAATTCAACACACTAAAGGATATGGGACCGCTAAAGGACTGCTCAGAGGGAAATTTACACCTATTGATGTTTATATTTTATTTTTTAAAGATTTATTTATTTATTTATTTATTTATATAAGCACTGGGTACAGTCAGAAGTGCGGGAGGGTGAGAGAACACCAGAGCCAGAGCAGGAGCAGAACAAGCAGACTGACGAAGTACACTGCTGAGGGGAGCAGCGGGCGCCCGGGGAGGTCTGTGCGCCATGTGGGACCCTCGTCCAGCGGCCAGGGATCGAACCAGCGCTGCGGAGGCTGCGGGCAGCTTCGCAGCCCAGCGCTCTACTGGTTGCTTCACAGCCCAGCAGCGCTGCCACCGGGGAGGCCCGATGTTTATATTTTAAAACCTAGAGCACAAATCAACAACCTAAGCTTTCACCTTAGAAAACCAGAAAATTAGTATCAGTCAAGGCAACCAGAACAAAGTAAATAGTGAAGTATAAAGAAAAGAAATAGGGAATTTGAAAAACAGAAAAATCAACAATATCAAGTTTGTTCTTTGAAACAATACAAAATTGAAAAACATTTAGCTAGATTGACCAAGGGGAAAAGAGAATATACAAGTTACTAAAATTAGGGATGAAGAAGACATTGCTACTAGTCTTTCAAAAATAAAGGAATTCTGAGGAAATAATATGAAAAACAGATAACCTAGTTGATAGAAAAAATTCTTAGAAACACACAAGCTTAACTAAAATTACCCAAAGAAGAAATTGAACATCTTAGAAAAGCAAGAGGAAAAATAATGTGTATAATATAGTCACATTAAATAATAGCAAAATCCTACATAGTTTGGAAACGTATGACTATGAAAAAATATGGAAG